AGCCATAACGAGTAGGTTAACTACAAACCAACTTCAATACAGCAATTATTTAATGGCTTCCTTAGCCATAACGAGTAGGTTAACTACAAACCAACTTCAATAGGCTTTGCCATAATATTTAACTCAACATCAACAAAAATTTGTTTGCTTTTTGAATTTCGTGCTAAGCTACTCAAGGGCTATCTACGGTAGCCGTCTATAGTTTAGCAGTAAAAGTTTGTTTGTTTGTAATTAAGCACAAAGCTACACAATGGGCTATCTGTGCTCTGCCCACCACGGATATCAAAACCCGGTTTCTAGTGTTGTAAGTCCGCAGACATACCGCTGTGCCACTGGGGGGCGGCAGTAAAAGACTAGAGGGAAGACAGCTAGTCATCACCACCCACCGCCAACTCTTGGAATAATATTTTACCAACGAATAAAAGGGGGAACATGTTTGGTGGGACGGGGATTTGAACCCGCGACCCTCAGATTGCGAGTCAAGTGCCCTAACCATCTGACCATGCTGGACCACATCAACACAAAATTTTGGAAATTTCACAGCATAAAAAATGTTACAAAAACAAAATATATGACTTTATAAATCCGAAACTAGACACTATTTATAAAGTTTGATAAAGTATTTCCACTGTGATAAGGAAACAAAATTAAAGGATATCAATGCCATTCAAATGAGTTAAGCATCCCAATAATTTACATACATAATAGGCTTGCATTTTTCTGTACAGAACCTTTCTTCCAAAATTATCGATCAAACGCTACAAATTGTATATCATTAGAAAGGCCTTTGTCCGAAGAGTTCAGATTGCATATTGGCTTTTCCATTCAGAATCACTTTACCTGTTTTCTACACGGTGGTACAATGTTGTTGTCATCACGTGATGACTGGCTTCGATTTCTACTTCAGTTTTTTATTTGAAAAGTATTTCACAGAAACAAAACTTAATCCATGAGTAATTTTCTTTAAAAAATGAACATTACACTAAATACAATTTCTATGGAATTTCCCTACTTATTTAGGTCTAAAATACGCATGTTCAGTTTGTTCAAAACCATATGCTTATCTCTTTGTGAAAATGCATTCAGATGTTTCTGTATATTCAGCTAAGTTTGCCTTCATTACATCTTTACATTTACTTTACTTTGCAATAATTTAGCTTCAGTTCGTTTCATAGACTGCTATAGACAACTTTTAGCTACTTATTTCTTTAGTACGGGGTTTATTCTTAATTTTTGGGAGCTTCTTTGTATCAACTACAAAAACCATGTCATACACTGAATGCTTATAACTCTTTCATACTCTGTACACTATTGTAAATACCATTACTATAATTTATTGTTTATGCGTAGTTTTATTAAATAAAGTTACATCTAAGTGAGTTTGTCAGACCAAGTAAATTTTTTCAAATTGATCAGGATTTATCAATTTAACACGTAATGCCTGCAAGAAAGCGTAGCTTAAATTCCATGAAAATGAAAGAATAAGAAAAATTCAAGTGAAGAGCATGTAAACTGCTGCAAATGTTTTGTGGGTTGTGGTTAGTTAAAAATGATTTATTACCAAGCCAAAGGGTGTCTGACCAACTGTAAAACCTTTCTTTATCCCTATCCCCGTCAATTACCCTGTAAGCCAGACTTTCTGGTCAGTTTATTTTCATACAAATCTACCAATGGGCTATCTGCATTCTGTCTACTGCAGGAAATCAAACCCGAGATTTTAGCATTGTAAGTCTGTAAACTTATCACTGACCAGTGCAGGGGACTTGTTTTTAAAAATAGTATAATTATAAAAATGGCTGCAACCAAGAATATCTCAATATCCACAAGTCTGAATGCTTAATCAACCAGAACACCTGTATTACATAAATACATAGATAAACTTGTTTCTAAAAATGCTCAAACTCAAAAATTATGAATGGCAATTATAAAATGTTTCATTATAAAAAAATACAATCAGCTAGGAAATAAAATGATAGCAATATTACATCTTAGATCCTCACTTTAACAAGCTTTGTCATAAGTGTATCATTGAATGATAGTGGAATGATTTAATAACGGACTATTTTACTACAGTTGCTAACTGTGATGTTACAAAAGATGTCTGATCATTAATATATTTACCATTCACACATGTTACCACATACACAATAAATAATAATAACCAGACAACTGGAGAATACTGAATCAGTTTTACTAAGAATTTCATGTCTTACAAAACACAGAAAAACAATAACTACACTGAAGGTGAGAAGTTTTTGGAAGTAGCACCTTGACTTGATGATTTTGCACACACTTTTAATGCTTCCAGTAAAGCTTTTTTGACCTCATCTTCCTGCAAATACGTGAAAAAAAAAAAAAATATGAACACTAGAAAAAAAAGGAAGTTTTGTATATAGATATGAAAAAGAAACAGATTTTATCAGTACATAAATATTTTGATTAAACAATTCCAAGTGCTGTAAACAGTGGTTTTACAAAATCATTTATTTCTGCAAGGTATTTCATGTGTTTGACATAACAAAATAACACTTAAAACCTGCCTGCATTTCTGTTAAAAACTGTTTTATTTTATACATGTTATTCACTATATAAACCTTAATGTCTTCATAACTGTTATGTAAAAAACATTGGTAATTTTACATTATTTCTGTTGAAATAGGAAAAAGTTTACAACTATACAAAAAGTTCTCAAATTCTAAACTTAAGATGCACCTGCAACTAGTAAAAAAAAAACTTTTCAAAATTCTGACAAACAGTATGCAGGAGTAACAGCTTTAAGGTATTAATTTAGTTTTCTAGTTTCCAAAAATTACAAAATTAGCTTAATATTTTACAAAAATTCAAGTTTTCTTACAAATCTGATAAGTTAACTCGAAATTATAAGTGGTATTTTTATCATATGTACAGTTCATTTCATCCCTGAAGAATAATTATTCAACTAAGAATGAATTTTTTGTAGAAATACTTTCCAAAAATGTGTGTATTACTCACGGTAAGATTTATCTTAATGAACTGATGAAATAAATGGTCTATAAAATAACCCGATGAAGACATTTATACTTGCACCTTGGAGTAAAATGAAAATGCAAAAAACAGTTTAAGGACAAATTTCATTCCCTAAATTGAAAACTTGTAAATTCTTGGTTTTTTAATTGTAAATTACTGGAAATAGGCTTAGAGATTACATTTTAGTTTAACTATTCTTATTGTTCTGTATAAATTTTAAAACTCATTAAACTGCAGGTTATTTAGAATTTGGAGACAAACCATTACCAATGTTTGATTAATGGCTATGCTGCTTATCGAGTTCTCCTCTTTAAATACCTTTTTCACATTATGGAATATTTGTTTTATTACATCTGATAACTAAGTTTGATGACCAAACACGTTTCTTAACTAGATGGAAGGTGCATCTTTTTCCTATCTCAACATATTAAGATTTACGATTGACCATTTTTAGTTAAGGATATTTCTGTTATTTAATTGAAGAGAAATAAACATTTACTGATTGTGTTTTACATCAAAAATGTTGAAATAATCTTGTAAGCTTGATAACATTTCTTTTATTTTAAAGTATTGTAAATGAAAAATGAATCAAATATCACCTCTGATCCAGATTTTATATATACATGTTTGTTGAATTTCACATAAAGCTACTCAAGGGCCATCTACACCAGCCATCCCTAATTTAGAAGCTATAGACTCAAAGAAAGGCAGCTAGCCAACACTACTCATTGTCAAATCTCGAGCTACTGTTATACCAACAAAAAGTGGGATTGACTGTCACATTAATATAACCTTATGGCTGAGAAGACAAGCATGTCTGGTGAAGGGATTTGACCTTGCAACTAGAAGATTACAAGTGAAGCACCCTAACCACCAGGCCATATATATATATTTATACACTAGCAAAAGTGGCTGACTTCACTCGGATTATTAGGTTGTTAGTGCATGTATTCTGAACCCATTTTAGCATAAAAGTATAACCTATATACGTAAAAGCCATTGTTGGGATGCATTGTTACCAAAATGCACTGGCTTTTCTATATATTATGAGTTGTTATATAAGGAACTACTTGTTATCTATGTGGTTTTCACTAGCTTGCCTCTTTAAAAAGATGCACACATGCACGTGGATAAGTAATACCCAGATGCACACCCTCAGGGTCCACTTAGTATGGGTACAACATTTCAGGTTGCTAGGTTATTTCCTCTTGAAGCAATGGCAGTCACACATACAGACATGCCTTTTTAATGTTATAGACCAGCGAAAGTATCCAGTTTCGCTTGGGTTTGGTTTGGTTTGAATTTCACGCAAAGCTACACAAGAGCTATCTGCACTAGCCCTCCCTAATTTAGCAGTGAAAGCTATGCATAAATCCTGGTAAAATAAAGGAAGTAGTTGTTCAATAAAACTTAATAAAAACCAAAACATTTATGTTGTTAGTCTGCCCATAACACTTAGCTTTTCAAAAATATTATCAAGTGGCTATATATTTCACTGAATGATAAGCTTTTTTGCTGAAAAAATGAAAAACTTCATTAAAGAGACTTACTTGTTTAATTGAAGGTATTATTATGACGCACAGCTGAGATAAGGAATCTTCTAGAATTTCTAGAGAACTTGTAACATCAGTACTTTGTGCATCAGTTTTTTCATTTATACTTTTCTTGATATTCTTTGATTCTTTGACAGTTTCATTTACATCATCCTCTGTGTCTTTCTGTGACGTGGCACTATTCTCCGACTGTTCAAGTGAAGTCTGTTTTTTATAAACAAGAATCTTTTTCTGGACAGACTTCAACATTGTTTTTAGACATGACAGGAAATCTCTATCTGAAAATATTAACATACATATATTCTATTTCAATAAATTATGTATAATTAAGTATACAACTTTGCTATACCATAGTATGGGTATATTACAGAAGGGCTTGAAGTGACACTAATTATACTTCACAAATGCACACAGAGGATACATTGTTACTATTTTGGGTTATATACTCCTTGAACAATTGATGTAGTTATTACAAGTCAAAAAAAAAAACTCCATTTTATACTCTTTGATAGTACTGTTTTCACCCAACTATTTGGTAGTAAGGTTCATTTAAAATGAAATACTGTACAAATCTAGTTAAAAAGAAAAATTTTATTTGATTAAAAATGCTTGTATGCCATGTACATCAAATTTCACCCATTCTTTTCTCAATATCAAATGGAAAAGTTAAAATCTAAATGGGAATTTTACCAACATATTTTTTTTATGTGGTAAAGTAATACTCAGGTGCACACCCTCAAGATCCACTTAGTATGGGTGTAAAATTTCAGGTTTCTAGATTCTTTCCTCTTGAAGCTATGGCAGTCACACACACACACACACACACAGGCATGCCCTTTTGATATTATAGACTAGTGAAAGTATCCAGCTTCGCTTGGGTCTGGTTTGGCTTGAATTTCACGCAAAGCTACAAGAGGGCTATATGCGCTAGCCATCCCTAATTTAGCAGTGAAAGCTATGCATCAATCATGGTATAATGAAGGAAGAAAATGTGTATCTAAGTACTTGTTCAATAAAACTTCATAAAATCCAAAACTTTATGTTATTAGACTGCCCATAACACTTAGCTTTTCAAAAATATTATCAAATGGCTATACATTTCACAGAATGGTAAAAGAAAAATATGTCAGTAAAATTCCCATTTGGATTTTAACTGCAGGTCTGTCAACTTTCAAACCACTGAATGCAGTAAAAACAGTTTTCCTAAAATGGTGAAAAGACAACAAAATCATGTTTTTAAAAACATTACAAAGTTAATCATACAGAAATGTTTTATCAAGGTCATATAACATACCCCTGTCAAACAATTCCTCGTTCAACCTTTCTGGTGTCAAAAGTGATACAAGAGTAGCAAACCCTGCTGCAAGAGCTCCAGTTCTCTCATATGAAGGAACCACGTCTTCATTATCACACAGTTTACTTACATAGACATGAAGAAGCTTGTATACGGAATGAAAAAATTCCCCTGAAATAGAAATTCCCATCTATTTTTATGTAATAGAATCACTGCATTAAATATTGTACAGTAAAACATAAATATTTAAGGTAGAACTACACCTGCAAATGTGCAATGACTAACTTGTCTAAGAAGCACACAACATGGCAAATACGGCTTGTTATTACTATAGTTACGTAGATGGTGATCTGTAAATAAACATACAATGAATCATATAAGCATATTCTATATAATTTCAAGGAAGAATTTAAGTTTATAATAATGGTTTGTTTTAGAGCAAAGCCTCATTGGGCTATTTGCTGTATCCATCACAGGGAATCAAATCCTCGATTTTACTGTCGTAAGTCTGTAAACTTACAGTTGTCCCAGTTATAACAATGGAAACAAATAAAGAAATTTCACAATTAGGCTTAGAATGGTAACTTTAACGTAATCTAAAAAAAACAACAAAAAAAAGCTTAAAATATGCAATAGGAACATTTATTAACCTATCAATATTAATTGCAAACTATGTCAAGAAAATTTAATAGATGATTGTTCATTTTGTTTACTTTGCTAAAGTTCATCTGTGTACGATTTATTGAGCGTTTCTTTCATATGGATATTTTTCCAGCATCTAGCAATGAATTAAGTATTAATTCTCCATCATTTCAAAGTTAATGTTGATCAGATAAGAAAAACTCATTTTGAGAATAACTCAAATGAGATGTCAAGGCAATTTCAACAATAATTAGTTGAATTATGTTGTTTATTAACACATTCTGTCTAAATATAAAATTTTTTGTATTAAAAGTAACTTTTTACACTCGTAATAATGGTTTACTTTACTTATAAAAGTAATGGTTCTATTTGAATGTACGTTTTGGAATGTCAGCATTTTTAATCTAAGAAATCAAACTGATCTGTATTAGATTCTTTACTATTTACACACTCAAGTTTTGTTTTAAATAGAAATACAACTTAAAAAAAACAAAAACAAATCTAAAGAATTGAAACTTTGATTTGTTTGTTCCTTTGGGTTTCCTCGCAAAGCTACACGAGGGCTATCTGCACTAGCCGTCCCTAATTTAGCAGTTAGGGCACTTGACTCACAATCTGTGGGTCGTGGGTTCAAATCCCCGTCACACCAAACATGCTTGCCCTTTCAGTCGTGGGGGCGTTATAAGTGGTGGTCAATTCCACTATTCATTGGTAAAAGAGTAGCCCAAAACTTGGCAGTGGGTGGTGATGACTGGCCGCCTTCCCTCTAGTCCCACACCACCTGGCCATGCTGGGCTTGAAACTTTGGAAAAACTTTTACAGGTGCTCATAAAATTTTGTCATTTGTGATATTTAAGCCTGGTAATAAAAAGTTCTTATCTTGGAAATTGATTTAGGAAAAAAAAATCAGGCCCACAACTTAAAACATACAGAGCTATGAGACTACATTCACCTAAGACACACTTAGGCTTTAATAAAAGAAATAAAAGCAAACAAAACCTAAAAACTGCATAAAACACGTTATTTTGAACACAAAAAATGCAACAACAGATTTGTAACAGTACATTAATCCACTTTTACCAAATAGACTACAATTGTGAAAAATATGTAATGTAGAAGTGTTTGATACTAAATCCAATGTGTCATTTAGATAATTAGGTGAAAATTATTAACTCTATTACACCCTGATTGATGCATCCCACCTCAAGGGCAAAAACTGCACCATTGAATCAAAAAATTATACAAAACAAACTTTAGTTATTCTTCCATACATTTAACAAAAAAATTTTGTTTTAAATTTATACATCAAAAAATTTTAAAATTCTGATTTTCGGTTCATTTCAGCATGCTCCCAATGAAAACATTATGGGGAAAATAATGTTTGAACAACATAGTGCTAATCTGAGTCTGACTTTATAACTTTAATACAAGTGTAGTTTTATTGACTTTAGCCAATCACCATTCCTCAACCTCCGTTGTCATGGTGTGATGCTTAAATTGCCTAAATCTCAGCTTTCAGAAGTTGTAGGATAGCGATCTAAACATATATATAATGAAAGCTATTTTTTTGTCTTTTTCAACTGTGTAAGCTAATGTGGCTTCCAGTTCAGTTGAGATTTGTGTAGAGATCAGAATAGCATAACAAAAGTTTAACTTGGTGATATGTTGCTAGAGGAAAAGATGTTTGTGAACTAGTTACATCACAATAAGTCTTGAAAAGAAATGTCTCAGGATGAGTTAGGCTTAGCTAAGTTAATTTGACCCTGCAATGCGTGTAGTAGACAAAAGTAACCATAATGTAAAAAATTAAACACTTCTTAAGCTACAAAAATAAAATAATCTAAAACGTTATGAGCTTAGTAACTTAAATTCATGAGCTCAAACTATGTGTAGCTTGATTAATATGTTTACTTTATCTGTGAGGGGGGAAATAGATATGGGCTCCCTCTGTGACTTATTGGTTATCACAGAGTAATAAATGGCTTACCCGAAAAAAATCTGATTTTTTTATACAAGTATTTCTACTAAAGATTTGTCAGTGAATTTATGAAGCCTTTAGTGAGTCAGTCAGATTAAAAGGAGATTTTTTGTGTTAAGGTTAAAAATACTTATTTTTCATCTTACAGTTTTCATATTTCACTTGTTTAACCTCTAGAACCTCCTAAATGAATATCAGAATTTTTTTTCTGTTAATCTGTATATTTATTTGTTATTTTCTCTAACACCAAGTATAGCAAATTTGTCAACCTACATAGAAGTTGAAAAATATGAAATAAAATTAACAATACCTTTTTTTCTCTTCTTTGAATGCACCATTTGTTGCCAGATCTTCATAATTTCAACTGTTAACAATGTTATTGTTTTGTTATTGCACTCTGTTTTATACAACAGTTTACAATGTTTAATAAAAGCTTGCCAAATTTTGTAGAGACACATTTAACAAATTCAGAGTTATACTATATATAGTTTCACACTTCCAAGGTAAGTCAAACTGACCCACTTTTTACCGAGAGTTAATTGACGAAGATAAGACACTCTTGCAATTAAAGCTTATTGTATGTAGTTATATGAACAATGTACACAGCATAAAATGTGTACTTAAACAATGTGTATGTTTTAATTGTATTTAAAATTTTTAAGAATGGATTACTGTTCTACATAACATATTGTTAAATACATGTGTATGCTTTACTTATTTATATGGATTACTTGTAAATTAAAAGGTTTATCAATCAAATAAAACCAGTTGTTATGGTGACATCATCAGCAAATTATACAAATTAGTACTATCGATGTTTCAAACCTTCATTTGGTAATGTAGCACACGTATACCTTCACAAGGTTCTATGGGAAAAAATATTGTTATAGTATTTTTTATTTCAGAAAATATACTAAAATAATTTTTTCACC